CTAACGACATTCACCCACAGCAAAAGTAATACGAATTGTTTCATGCTTCCCGTATCCTGCCCTGAACTGAAAGAAAAACAGTTTTCGCGGAAAAAGAAAGATATAAATGAAAATATAGATCTACGAAAAATGTTGGAAATGAAAAGAAATGCGTAGAACAAGCGAAATTGCAAAGTCGAATAAAATGGTGAATTATTCCAAAAGACAGGTTTTGAAAGAATTGACTTTTGTGTGAGTGAAATGAGGCCGTGAAGCTTTTTCTTCAAGTAGAACTCTAGAGGGAATTTGTTGCACGATGGTGACTCAGTGTCATACTCACACACACACACACTTTGGAGAAAGTAAATTCTTTGAAGGTGACGAGGAAGTGAGTTAGAAGGTGAGGAAATTGAGGAGGTGTCGGGGAACATGTAGGCCGAGTGCATGCACGCACTTTGTTTGCTCTCGGCCTACCATTTAGGGACAGAGTTATAGTCGACTAGTGGACAACCAGCCGGCTATTATGCATCGCCACCCCCGCGGTCAAGCCCCGTCTGCCGGTCGTCATTGCGACTTCGCGGATCCGATGAGGACCGGTCAAGTACTGTATTAACACTCGAAGTATGCACGGTTTGTACGAGCCGACAATTGTTCCCGCGCGAGTTTATGATATGCTGATACAAGTCATCTACATTCTGGATTTTCCAGAGAATAACTACGGCTAACTGGTTATTCATGAGAGAAAATGGGACTCGCTGAAGGTTGCAAAGAATGCTGATGCATTTAGTAAGATTATTTCAAAAGGATCACAGCATTGTTCCTGATCGTGCCACGTACACTAACTAGCAAACAGCTGCCTAGTACTAGAGGCGTTTCTTCTCCAGGCAAAGAACTTGTAAACTCCGTTTATACGGCTAAACAACACTAATTCCAGCTATACAAGTCTATTGTCCAGCTATGGGGAATTGCAACTTTAGCAAATTTCATTTTCTAATCTACTTCTTATGATGCCCAAAAAAGGATAGCCCTGCAATGAAAAAAAGGAGCCTTGAGACGAATGTAGGTGAAAGCTGTTACGACCTGAAATGCGGGCATTACAAATGATATGTTGGTCGAGGTTACTATGATTGCAGCTTATCAAGCTGGGAACGCACCAGCACTTGTCGGTAATTGTTCAAGAAAGTGCAATTAGAATCGCTTCCTCTTTAATACACCTTCACAAACCTATCGATTACTGGAAATCTTTGTTGCATTACATGAAAGAATGAAATAGGGATCCAGAAAGGAAAGCGAATACAACGGGTCGTCGAATAGTGTTGAATCCAAGAAAGTG